ACAGGTCAACAGGTAGACTGAACACTGTGGGCGGCTGTGCTTTAGATCCATAGCTTTAGGGATGAACTGTTGTGCGTATTTGATAAGATGCCTCTTTATTATTAACTTTCATATAATTTCAGATTTTTGTACAACTTTTCTTCAGGTTAACTCAGAAAGTGAGCTATTATTGTTACAGGTTAATTTTCTAAACTACAGAAAATTTATTGTTAGAAAAACTCAAATTTGAAAAATTGGACTGATATTGATATGCAATAGTAATACTGCTGTTACGTTATATTTCCTTATGTTTGTTTTATCCAATTACTCGATTAATCATAATCAATAGATTACTCGATTACTAAAATATTCATTTACATTAGCCCGAGATAGAATCACATTTCACATCTGGTTGTCATGAATCTGCAACCTGAATCTCTGGAGACACAAGTAATATATGTATGTATGTCATCATATATTCCTGTGCTTTTTGTGTAATTCATTTTAAGTGTTCCCCAAGAACACACTGACTACAATGTCCCCTGTGGTAAATCTAGTCTAGAACCAGCCTCTAAATAAAACAGTAAAGACAATTATATAGATTTTTTTTTAACCAGCTAAGGGCTACCTCTATCATCAGCACCTTTATTCAGTTAGCAACTTGTAATGCACAATATTATGCTTAGCAATTTTTTTGCAATGGGTAATATAGTACTTAATTTCGAATTATGTTTGTGATATTTATGAATAGAAATTGTGTACAGCATTTACTTTATATATTTGAATATTATTTTGTTGTTCAGTACAAAATGTTGCAAGTGTGCAAAATATTTGGATAAATAATGGTTAGTCTGATCCTGTTAATTACTCATTGCTCTGTTTTGAAGTTTGATTAGTGACTGTTGTGTTGTTTTGTAATTACGTTCCTAAATCTTTCTGGAGTCACTTAAATAAGGTAAAACTAAAGAACAGCACAGAATGTTAGTGTCAAAGAATGTTTCTTTGCAACGAAAAAGGTGTTTCGTTCTGAAACTATGACAAACCTACTTCATGAACTGTGAACTGAAATAGTTAAACCCCGACTCCTAATGTTCACTTTTCCATAGATGACCAACAGCTGCATAATGTTTAGATAAAAATAATGGTAATGCAAATTCTAAGTATGATTTTCAAATTAAGTTCTGCCTTGACAATAAATTAGTTTTGGGTCAATTAATCCTATGAATTTAATTAAATGTTCTTCAAATGAAATGCATAGTTTTGAGTAAATTTTATTTTCATTTCTGTGTGAGCAGACCCCACTAGGACTGTGTCACTCCACGGCTGCTTGTGTCTCATAAATTTTAGCAGATGTTGGCAGGTATGATGTAATCTGATTCTGTTTCATATATATACAGCTCTGGAAAAAATGAACAGTCAATCAATCAATCAAATTTTATTTGTATAGCACATTTCAGCAGCAAGGCATTTCAAAGTGCTTTACATCATAAACACAAAAACACAAAGTCATGCAACATAGAATAAACAATACATTTTCTGGAAGTTTGTTCCAAATTTTTGGTGCATAGATGCTGAAAGCTGCTTCTCCTCTTTTGGTTCTGGTTCTGGGGATGCAGAGCAGAACTAGAACCAGAACCTGAGAGGTCTGGAAGGTTGATACAACAACAGCAGATCTTTAATGTATTGTGGTGCTAAACCTTTCAGTGATTTATAAACTAACAACAGTATTTTAAAGTCTATTCTTTGAGCTACAGGGAGCCAGTGGAGGGACTTTAAAACTGCTGTTATGTCTCTATCTTCCTGGTTTTAGTGAGAACAGGAGCAGCAGCTTCTGGATCAGCTGCAGCTGGAGGATTGATTTGTTGGACAGGCCTGTGAAGACGCTGTTGCAATAATCAATGCGACTAAAGATAAACGCACATTAGTCCTCTAATCTTGGAGATGTTCTTCAGGTGATAGAAGGCCGACTTGTAATTGTCTTTATGTGGCTCGCAATGTTCAGGTCCGAGTCCATCACGACTCCCAGGTTTCGGGCTGATCACTAGTTTTTAGTTGTAATAGCTGAAGCTGTGCATTGACTATAGATCTATAAAGATAGATCTATAGCTCTAGATCTGTAGCTCAAGATCTGTAGCTCTAGATCGTTTCTTTAGGTCCAAAAATAATGACTTCAGTTTTGTTTCTTTTCAGCTGGAGAAAGATAAATGCTTCGAACACTTATCTGTTCTAAGCATTTATTCAGCGATTGGATGGGGTCAAAGGTCACCTGGTGAAATCGTAAAGTAGAGTTGAGTATCATCTGCATAGTTATGGTAGCTAATATTATTTCCTGTTATAACCTGAGCTAGTGGGAGAATATAAGTATTGAATAAGAGGGGTCCTAGGATTGAACCTTGGGGTACCCCACATGTGACCACTGAAACAAAGAAATCCCTGTTCTTTATGTAAGATTTAAACCAGTCGAGCACCGAACCGGAGAGTCCGACCCAACTCTCCAGTCGATTCAGTAATATGTCAAAAGCTGCACTGAGGTCCAACAGAACCAGCACTGTGGTTCTCCCACTGTCTGTATAAATACAGACAGTTCAGTCATTGAATACTTTGACTAGGCCAGTGTCCGTGAGCACGGAAACCTGATTGGAAAGAGTCAAAGCAGTTGGTCATCATGAGGAAACTATTTAATTGTTTAAAAAACATTTTTTTCAATAACTTTGCTGATGAATGTGAGGTCAGAGGTCGGCCTGTAATTCTGCAGTAGTTCTGTCCAGATTGTTTCGTGGTTTGATAACTGCTGTTTTCAAAGCCTGGGGGAAAATGCCTGATGTGAGCGATGAGTTACTATTTGGATCAGATCAGTAACAATAACAGGCAGGACTTTCTTAAAGAAATGTGTGGGTAGGACATCCAGACAGTAGGAGCTTGAATTTAATTGACCTATAATTTCTTCTAGGGTTTTATAATTAAGTAGTTGAAAATGGGTCATTTTTTCTGTATTTGTTTTGTTTGGGTACAGCAGTGGTTTTGGCTTTAGAGTTGATGTGCAGATTAATCCTCTGATTTTTTTGAATTTTCTCTGAAAAGAAGCTGGAAAACTTGTTCCATCAGCATTAGATTGAGTTCAGGTGGTAACGTCACAAGAGGGTTTGTGAGCCTGTCAACTGTTGCAAATAAAGTTCGAGCATTGTTGATGTTTTTGTTTATGACATCTGCAAAGAAAGCCTCCCTTGCATGTTTTAGTGTTAAGTGATAGTTACGTAGTCTTTCTTTATAGATGTCATTATGAACGTAAAGTTGAGTTTTACGCCATTTTGGTTCTGTCCTGCAGCAGTGTTGTCTTGCAGACCAAACTGTTTGTGCTTTTCTCCATGGAGATTTCTTCCTACCAGACACCTTTACTTTAATTGGGCCAATAGAATCAATGATATATGAAACTATAAACTGAAAATTATCTACCAACTTATCTACATCATTACAGTTAAGGGTGAGGAAGAAGAGTAGATTTGATTAAATGTTTTCTGTGAAAGAACGTTTTGTGACAGCAGCTGTTTGTCCAAGCGGGTCAAACAATAAACAACTTTCAAAGTGATCCAACAGAGCGACATCAGTTACAGAGACATTAGAAATATTCACACCCTTACTGATAACCAGGTCCAGTGTGTGTCCTTGAGTGTGTGTTGCTTGTTTGACATGTTGTGTTAAACCAAAATTTTCTAAAATATTAAAAGCTTTTTTGCCCCTCTGTCTTGGGGTTTGTCCACATGAATGTTGAAATTACCAACAATTATTAAGCAATCATAATCAATGCATATGATTGATAGATCATTCAAGTAAGTAAAGAAATTTTCCACGTATGTTGGAGTTTTGTATAAAGTTAGTGTCAAAGTTTGTTTGAAGCCTTCAACCTGAATTCCAAGATACTCAAAGAACTGAAATGACCCAAAGAGATTTTACTACAGTTATGGTTTTCTTAGATATTGCAGCCACGCCTCCTCCTTTTTTATGTTTTCTTTTCTCACTTAAAAAATTGTAGTTAGGAGGCGCTGATTCAATTAGTACAATTTGGTCATTATTGTCATTCAGCCATATTTCTGTCAGAAACATAACATCAACATTTTACTCAGTGACAAAATCATTAATTAATAGAGCTTTAGCACAGAGAGATCTGGTATTTAAAAGATACTTAAGTGACTTGCAACCAAAAAAAATTTCAGTCTGAGGTTTGAATTAGGACCACTGTATTTCATATTTCTGTTTTTTGTCAATTTTCTTGTAGTGATCCGGACAGGTAATGTCCTGTTCTGCAGTGCCGGGGGCCAGACACATTCTGGAGGAAGACGGGTGTAAAGATAATATCTGGACCCCTGTTTCAGATCTCAGAAACGCAGAGTGATGGATTCTCTGGAAAGTCAGGGGCAGGTGGCTTAAACAATTTATCTCGAGCTAAAAGAGCGTGCTGTATGAAAGAACGAAGGCATACAAAGGAAAAAACATTTACGCACGCTATGCGCACCCTTTCTTTTTCTATCACGGTCCTGAATCATGTGTAACTCATTTTATTTATGATTTTAACTAAATTGTCAACATGGCAACATTACTGTTCAACTCACCTTAGTTTTAGTGGGAACAATGTGCTTGTGCTTTTGATGCGCAAATCCGGTTAATGCGGGGTTGCACTGTGGAGCGGTATAACCGCAGATCATCTTCAACCAGCAGCCTTGACCCGGATTTGCTTTTTATCATTGCGAGTGCGGAAAACCCACATTCGCAGAGATAGGTTGAAGTGAAGGGGATGAGCACGTTTACTAATAATTTGTCCATTTTTTTCCTCACAAGCGGACAGCTTCTTCTTCGGTTTATTTTTTCCCTCGCACCGCGCCTCCCCTAATGTGCTCTGGCGCCCCCCAGGGGAGGCGCGCCTCACACTTTGAAAACCGCCGGTATAGACAATTTTTGAAGTTGACGTGAATTTAGTGTAGAGTGATCAACTCTTCAAAGGTGAAACTGAAACAAAAACTTTCAGATATGTTGAAGAGCAGAAATTCTGCCTCATTTTAGACATTTCTTTATTCAAAAAAATGACCCATAGGGTTCCATACAAAAATAACTCATGTCGAGATAAAGCATTGCAAATAGTCTTACACAACAAACTCATTTTGGGCCCTGAAAGTTCAGAAATTAAATAATGAGAAGAAAGTAGATGTTACTGTGAAATGTATTCTCAGACAGCTGCATATTTTATACAAAGCTTGTGTTCACATAAGGTGCTTTTACAAGGAAACAAGCTGGGTATGTTGCCATTTGAATGAAGTTTGGCACTTGCAATGTTAAATGGAAGTCAAATATAGACATTTTTTAAACAAGGTGGATATTTTCCCAGGAAATATTTTTACTTTTACATCAAAAACCAACAAGCATCAAACAAGATTGAGTCAAAGAGTTGTAGCATAAATGTGGCTTAAGTGGATACTCAAAACACTGGCATACATGGAAAAAAGAATGATGTTTATGGTTCTTTTACCTGTTAAATTTGGTCCCAATAAATTCTTCTCAGTACTGCGATACAAAGGTTCCCCTAAACCTTCCTCCTCAGTATTGCGAGGAAGGTTTATAGGAACCTTCCTCTAAATTCTCTTAAAAATCCAAGACTTGATTGGAATGACAGAGACTCATGATTAAAAGAAAACATCCCCCACAGTCTTAAGAAGGAACAGCTTACTCAAAAATGTAATGTGCCACAGAATCTCTGACCTCAGGCCATATTGCCCAACAAGCACCAGAAGGAAGATTTTGGATCAACATAAGGTGATGAAGCATGGCAATAAGCCAGAATCTTTATCTTTACATCCCTGGCTTTACATCCACCACCAATTTCATCTGGTGTGGGCAACTCAACTCCATTGTAGTGCCTTTGAAGAACAGTCAGTGACTTCATCTCCAGGATCCCCACTGATGAGCTTCAGCAGACAGGAAGCATGACTGAATTCCCATTGCACTCTTCCTCTGTCTGGAAAAATAAGAAATAAGCAGTTTAGTTCTGGTTTAACTGTGTTTGACCTCATCAAAGAGCAGAGCCTGAAATTTACGTTTTAAAAAAAGGTGAATTCACCTTTATTTTGAAAAAGACAATATCCATTTTTAGAAAGTGAATTTGGGAAGTATTGGCGGAACTTATACTTTTTAGAGGGCAGGTCTAATGTCTCTTTTTTCCTTCCTAGTTGTTATTCAATCTTTTGGTTTTCTCTCCTTCACCTCTTCTACTTCAAAACAAATGGAATTAAGAAAAACGGAAGCATGAAAAACTTTTCAAGGTACAACTTGTGAAATTAAATGTGGATGTTGTCCTATTTTTACTTTTGTTTAACACATTAATTACTGTTCCTTTCTGCCTGTTGCTTATCATAGCTGCAACTGTGGCTCGTCTTTTATTTCTGTGATCTACTGTTTGTTGTTCTCTCTCTTCTCCTCTACGTTCCTTTCGTCAACTTTGTTGAAATAAATTCTTTAGTAGTTATAATGCTGAGATCTTTGCTGAACTTGCAGGGAGATAATCTAAACTATCACTTTGAAAGAATTTGTCTCTTTTCCCAGTTTTTGGACTGCTTCTTTTTTGTGAATTCTTTTTTTCTTGCATCCACTTTTTCCTTCTCCTGTTTTTCATCTCTTTTCAGAGTAATGAAAAGTAACCAATTTTTAGTAGTCGATATGGACATTTCCTGAGAAAACTGCAATAAAATTGTAAGGGAATGAACTGATAAAGTAATTAAGGTGGCAAAAATTACACTCCATAAGTAAAAATAAGAGCTTTTCCAAATTAAGGCTTTGAAAAAAAATGAGAATACAAACATTTTATTAAATGATTACAAAATATGAAATAACAAACTGAAATTAATTAATAGAACAATAATAGATATATTTAGAAAATAATGATAATGTAAATTAATACTATAGAAAATGATTTATTTTTTTTTAAATCCACTTTATGTCAAGATTTATGATCTAATAAGTTGGGAAAGTTCTCTTTAATTTTTGGGAGAAAGATTAAGATGAACTAAGATGAGCCAGTGATTTATTTCTATTTTTATTGCTAATCTTGGCAGGATCGTTCCTCCATACATTTCATTTCACGTATTTGTGATGTTCAAGTCACACATCAAGGTCACATTTTATTGGCTAGTTTTTGCAAATGAAGGGTTCAACACTGCTGCAACATTTCAGCATTGTTGCTTTAGCTACAGATATATGATATCTGTTAGTCTGAGTCAGGCTAAGTTGGGCCTCCTGGAGGAAATTACAGTTTAAATCATTACCAAGGCCACTGGAATCAGCAATGCCTCTAGCGTTCTTATAACCTTTGCTACTTTTTAACAGATAGTCCATGATTTGATTATGTTACATTTAGAAACTATTAGCAAACACTTGGCTTGCTAACAAGAGATACAGTGAACCCTCGCTGTAACGTGGTTCACCTTTCACGCCCTCGATGCTTCGTGGATTCTTTTGTGCAGTTTTTTTCTCACAGTGCATTGTGTGCTGCGTCCTGATCGGCTAAACAGTCTCCACGCTTCTTCTCAAACACCATGATGTGCCAATAACGTTACGGTATTTAAATATATCTAATATATATTTAAATACATTTTTAGCAATTTTTAGCAAATATTTTTGCCCAGACGAAAAAAGAGCAACAACTACTGATAACTATGTTCTCTTGAAAAAAACACACCTGCACACAGGCTTCAGAAGAAAAAGACCCTGCAAAGCAGAGTCAGGCCGCAGTCACAATGAAATACATGAAATACACGTATCACAATTTGTCCTACTGTACTTCGTATTGATAATTAAAATTATTATTTTACTGTAGTTATTTGTAAGAAAGCGTTATATTTGTTTGATAAAAATGCCTGAGCCTGAAAACAGATTTTGTTCTTTAGTTTCAATCTAGTTTTTTTATGCTGTGTAATAATTGTAAAAAAAATAAATGTAACTACTTCACGGATTTCGCCTATCACGGGTTTTTTAGGAACACAACCCCCGCGAAAAATGAGGGTTCACTGGGAAAGCAAAGTAACATCGTACTTTAAAAAGAGAAGAGTTCGTTCATAGTGCCGTTGCAAACAATCACATTGCACATTGCTGTAATTGTGTGCATAAATTTTCCAAAATATAAACACGACATTTGATAAATCTATTATATAATTATAGCTGCAACTGTGGCTCTTGAATAGAGCACTGAATATCAGGCATCAATGTCTAATGATGTCACTAAGCAAACCAACTTGTCTTGAGATGCCTACCTCAAGACATATTGAAGGTGATGGAAACTGGAAGTTGGGTGCATTCATGAAGATGGGGCTGTCGTCACAGTCCACATCGTCCAGCAGCGGGGTCAGAGGCTGGTCCAAGCGGCAATCCTTAGTGATGTCACAGTAACTTGGAGGCTCAGAAGGCATCCTGAGGGACACCCAACTCTGAGACGCATTGCTGACTGAACCCTCTTGGCTGCTAACACTGTTGCTGCGGCTACCAAGACCAGCAGTTCCAATAACCAGAGGTAGCTCTAGAATTAGCTTCTCACTACCTGGGATGTGGACATAAATCTGCCAAATGAATGAGGTAGGCAAAGATTAGGAACGTTCTCCCACAAAAGCACGCGAGTAGCACTCAGACTGGCACAGCAGACTTACCATTAGTGCATATTCCACACGAATGATGTTGCAGTCAAGCATGGACGGTTTGATCTTTGGCACTCTGATAGTCTTTCCCTGCCAGGCATCACACATGCCTGAGATAATGTGGTTTCCACGCACCGAAGAAAGCTTCTGACGGAAGATCTTGGTTCGGCCATTGGCCTGGTACGTATGTTTGGCGATGATGGCAGCCTTGGGCACCACAATGCGCGAACAAGTGTTCTCAAACTTTGCATTGATACAAATGTCTTCGCCCTCGCAGAATCCACGCCGGTCAATTTTTGCATTCAGCGACACCTGACCGTCAGGGATGAACATGCAGGTGACCTTCTTCTCCTTTGTGCCACCTGTGGGAGACTAATGTCACACAAGAAAACACAAATCATTTCTACTGGTAACTTTATAATAAATTAATTCTCATGGATTTTGTACAGATATGCTTAAAATGCCTATTTAAAGTTCCTTAAAATGGTACAAAAATATTTTCTGAGCCCAAACTGTAAATCTGGTTGCTACATTTGGTTTCTTTTAAGCCAGCGAATGTTTTGAATAAGATTTAAGACATGTAGTTTCATGACGTAACTGGAAAAGAGCAGAGAACGGAGCCCACCGGCTACAGTCTGACTCCTGAGCTCAAGGAGGTTTTGTTCTCTCAAGTTGTTTATGTGTGGCTGTTCAGGCTGCAATTGATCTGGACATGGTGAGGGGAAAAAAACAACAGAAAATAAAAACGGATTTTAAACTTAGGTGAGATTCACCAGGTAGGAAGGCAGTATGTCAAACTAACATGGCAATCTGCAGTTTGCACTTGTGCTAGTAGGCTTTCAAAGAAAGTGACCTGAATGAATGCTAGATGGGATCCAGAAGAAATGACCAAATCAGACTGAAATCCACTGCATTACACCATAACACAGCAGAGGCAGCGAGCTGAAGAACAACGCTGATGAAGAGCAGAGAAAACAACAAAACTTGTTGAGGGTCGGTGGAGAAAGTAAGAGTTATTAAATCTTCCAGAGATATGAATATTTTTGAACCTATCCATGCGTATTATTTATTTCTTATGTTGGTAGATATATTCACCATAAAAATATCTAAAGATCTGTAAATGTAGACACATTTGAAAAAATCTCTTAGCAGTCAACACTGCAGTTAGCATTTCCAGGTCCGTGTGCATGAAGCTTTCTATTCCAATATCTGTTCTTCTAACATTTAAATGGTCTCTGTTCAATATGTAGTCAACAGTTGTAACTTCTGGCTCACCTGTGAGACATCAATCTTAAACTTGTAGCCGACTTAATGCTAAGGATTGGTCACCTCCTCCAGATCTTATTCAATGTTTTTAGCTGCACAGGAACGTTCTCCTCCATCTACGTCATTAACAGTCTTTGCAAGGGGCACCATTTTTAGGTGGAGCAGTAAGCAGGCTAGGTATATATAGATGATATATTTCTATATTTCGATATATAGGACACTTTTAAAACTGTCTGAAAATTTGAATTTCACACTGTTATAATATAAAGGCTTCAACATATGTTTAAGTGAAGCCTTTTTTAAGCTTTATGTATCCACCAATTTTTACATGCATCGTTTTTTTTATCTTACAATACACTGGACAACATCCATCTTGCTACTACTGTATCAGGTCAGAAAATTTGGGTTTTCCGCAAATATACTGATATTGTAGCATTTGGTAATAGCTTTTCTACCATTACTAAATTTAGTCTTGACAGGGATATTTCATACTATTTAAAAGAAGAAAATACATTCTTCAATTGAAACTGACTGAAAAGATGTGCAATTTGTGGATTATATTTGACTTTGATGGTTGCAAAACATATCTTACTTCAGGCCAACTTACCAGCAGGTCTGGTGTGTTGACGTCCAGAGGTTCCTCCACCTCAAAGCATTTCTTGCACTCCAGAGTAGGTTGCTGTGGCCTCTCCATCAAGGCCTTTATATAATAGTGGACATAACCAAACTTCCCCTTGTATGAAGACACCAGCTGCCTGTGAGTAGAGAAATTAGCATTTCAAAAGGCAAGCTCTGTGGACAGAGATGTTACTCTATGTAAATAAATGTGAATTCTGAGACTCTTACCCATGCTGAGGAAGATCAAATTCAAACTTGTACTCATATTTATTACCAGGCCTTAAAACAACTGAGCCATCGGAATCTATAAAGAGAAGTTTTAAAGAAATTTTAATAATTCTATACTGAGAAAATATTTGTTTCAATACAAGGTGGAGTTGTGAAAGTCAGTAGAAAAAGGCAAAAATATATTTTGAGTCTAGTTTTATTCTCAATGTCTTCCGATCCAAACCAAAACTAGAATGAAGTAAAACCGTTGGTGTCTTCTCACCTCACCTTCACAATAAAAGTTTATGTTCGGGTGTGAAATATATACATTATTTAACGCCACAGTGTTAAATTAAATAATATTTCCTTCTTTGGCAGAGAGGGGCATACATAAAGTTAACTTTGTAATCATGGCTTTTTTTCTTCACTACTTAAAAAAGTAGTGAAGAAAAAAAAACAGCTACATTTAAAGTTCAATGTTTGCTGTTCCCCTGGAATATGTAAAATAATAAATTAACATAGAAAAGTGAGGAAAGCCGAACCTGTGGGCTGTTCGCTCAGCTGCAGGACCTCTTCATAGCGTAAGTACTCAGCCTCCTGGCGACACCGCTGCTTTCCTTTAGCGTACTCCACTTTGGCGCAGCCCAGAGCCAGGATCTTCAGTGCAGACACCCGAGTCACCTCGCTCACCTCGACTTCAACTCGGCCACACACCTTGTCCCCGCCGCAGTAAAAGGACTTGTTTGAATCCGATAAAGTGATTTGGAAGGTTTTCACCTTCTTCGTCATTGCCACCATAACTGCGACCCTAGTAATAGTCGATGCTGTTAACGTGTACTTTTTTTAATAAAAGCGCTTGAACGTAATAGAACACTGTGCTACAATATTCACTTCCCTTTACTGTAAACAAAGAGCGCAGAGGTTTTATATGACGCGCCCCAGCTGAGCATGTGCTGCCAAGGATGGAAGAAATGGCTCAGCGCGTGCACACTGTTCCTATTGGTTGAAAATCTTTGTTTGTCTCGGGTGTAGCCAATCAACACACGGAACCGACGCGTGGACAGTGCATGTTTCTGAGAACAGAGAGCGTGCTCAGCAGATGCCAAAAGAACAGGGATGTTGAAGGCAGGCTGAAAGTACATTTGTTGTAAACAGCTTGGAAGCTTAAAACCTTGAGACAAATGAGTCATTGTAGTTTCATTCCTTTTACACGTACACTCTACTGATATCACATGGTTGTGCTGGAAATCATTTGACAGTGAATGAGACAGTGATTATTAAAGTTTTTATTTAGGAAGTAGACCATATTTTACAATTTGAAAATTAATCAGACAAAGTTTTTATTTAAACAAATATGTTATTAAAATGTGAAACCAACATAGACCGTTCTCACTGTTTGTCTATGGGCATGTGGTTGTCATACTCCGCTATAATGTGGAGTATGACAACCTATTTGGGAATGTCCTATTTTAAATTAGAGCTCATTGAACTTCTTGTCTTTTTTTGAGTTGGTCCTGTAGAACTGGACCTTTCCTTGTTTATAAAAAAACAATCTTTAAAAGCAATAACATTGAAATAACTTACAACATGTAGAACTACAGCCATTTAAAACTACAGCATATGTGTTATGCATCTCCTGACCCCACTAGGAACAAGAATGTTAGAAAACGGATGAATCAATATGTTATGCATGTTAAAACTGTTGCAATGTCGTGACATCAGCAAATTATATGGTGGCGTTATTGGAGTCTGTAGGATGACTGTAGTAGGATGAGTAGACTGCCAGGGTGTGGAGTGGGGGATCCGGGGAAGCTATCCTGCCTTGTATCAACGGTTCAGACTGGTGGAGGTGCAATTGTGTGGGGGATATTTTCCTGGCACACTTTGGACCCAGTAGTGATGCTAATCCTGATCCTGGGGTCTTTCTGCATTTCGCATCATGTCAAAGTCTGCTAACCATGTCCATGTCCTTTATGATCACAGTGTACCCATCTTTTGATGGCTATTTCCAGCACAATAACCCTGTACATATCACAAACCGCAAATCATCTTAGACTGGTTTCTTGAACATGAAAATGAGTTCACTGTATTCGAATGATCTCCACAGTCACCAGATCTCAATCCAATAGAGCACCTTTGGGATGAAATGGAACGGAAAAGTCATATCATGGATATACAGCTGACAAATCTGCAGCAACTGCGGGATGCTTTCATGCCAATATGGACCAGACTCTCTGAGGGATGCTTGCAGTACCGTGAGTCATTAAGGCAGTTCTGAAGGCAAAAGAGGGTTCAACCTGGTATTAGCAGGTGTATCTAGTAAAGAGGCTGGTGAGTGTAGTTTGGTTGATATTGTACGCCTGCTTTTGCAGTCTTGATGCTGCTTTAGTAGTAGCAGGCTCTGTCTCTAGATTTGAAATCTGCATTTCTGGCTTTCAAAGGATGCTGGACTTCATTGCTCATCCATGGTTTTCAGTTGGATAAATTTTTATGTTTTTGCATGCAGTCATATTTTCAGTGTAATTTTTGATACAACACAGTACAGCATCTGTGTATTCTTCCAGGGACTGATGTGCATTTATGTTCCATTAGACGTGTGCAAAACAGTCCTGCAGCTTAGCCAGAACCCCATCTGGCCAGGTTTGAATAGTGTTGGTCGTGGGCCTGATTTTTTTGCCTGACAGGGTTGTATGCAAGAAAGAAAAACAGTAATATGAGTAGAATATGAGCTGATAGGTCCAGGAATGAGAAAGAAACTGCTCTTAATGCTTTTTAAATATTGCAGTAGGCTTGGTCTAATATGTTGCTCCCGATGGTGGCACACTAAAAATTCTGCACAAATTTTGACAACAGTTTTTAAGTAAGCCTAATTAATTACACACACCCAATAGGCAACATGGCAACACTAGAAAAACACTCAAAATGGGGTTATGAGAAAATGAGACAACAAATAATGGATGTTTGCTTTGTTTGAATTTTCTTAACTCCATTTACATATAAATAATTTTTACGTACTTTGCAAAGGAGGCCCAATGTTTTCTCCCTGCCCCAACCTATGGAAAATATTCTAGATCCATCACTGTGTTATTGTTCAACAAAACTGATCTGGGGGCAAGTTGTGGGTAAATAACACCTATTTAGAACTGTGGAAATTCGTCACAACTTCACAGGAATCTTGTTCACCTCAAAGTTGATTTTAACAGAAACTCGAAGCTTTTTTTTTTTTTTAAGAAGGATCTTGATATATGGAACCATGTAGATTATGACTGATAAGTGGCTTTTAACAACCACTGCTTCAAACTGTAAGATTTTAGCACCTGCTCTAGCTTAATATTAACTCATTTTGCACAGTGGTAGCACCATTGCCTTGCAGCAAGAAGGTCCTGGGTTCGATTCCCAGCCTGGGGTCTTTCTGCATGAAGTTTGCATGTTCTCCCTGTGCATGTTGGGTTCTCTCCAGGTACTCAGGCTTCCTTCGACAGTTCAAAAACATGACTGTGAAGTTAATTGGTCTCTCTAAGTTCTCGATAGGTGTGAGTGTGTGTGCATGGTTGTTTGTCCTGTCTGTGTTGCCCTGCAACAGACTGGCGACCTGTCCAGGGTGACCCTGCCTCTCACCTGAGCACCCCTTTTAAGCCCTCTAGGAACAATGGTGTATATATGTATGTATGTATGTATGTATGTATGTATGTATGTATGTATGGATGGATGGATGGATGGATGGATGGATGGATGGATGGATGGATGGATGGATGGATGGATGGATGGATGGATGGATGGATGGATCTTTTAATATAAGTTTAACTTTTTCCACAGAAATTAAAGCATTCTATTATGTGTTTTTGAGACACTGGGGAAATTAAAAATGGAACACTATAGTGAAATAGTGTTCCAATAGTGAAGGGTAGAGTACTTGGTTAGATTAAACTCAAAGGCTATTTTAAAAATGATTAGACATAACACTTTCAATGTCAACATTATGAAAGTTAAACTCCTCCACTTTAAAACTATAGTGGGGGAGTTGGCTGTATTTGGACTGCAAATACAGCTTGATTCCTTGGAATTAAACTGTATTTAGGTTATATCTTGGTAAAGAGTCAAAACAGAGGTCCTGCTGAGAAGCATCAAATGATATTACCAGCTCACTGTCACTGCTGTTGCTGAGACTCAACAGTGTTTTTGATCTGGCACCATACTGCTGGAGGTAGGTGAACTATATCTTACTTCAAGCAGCTGTCTTTCTATGGATCAGGAGGGTTTCTCTTATGAAATTGCATACTCCCTTAATAAACTCCCTTTATTAAGAAACAACTAAGGATAAACAATTCTTCATTAATTTTAAATCTTTATAAGTTGTTTTTGCCCACAGGCTGCATTGAACTGCAATTGCAAACTCTGTTGCCTTGCAGCAAGAAGGTCATGGGTTTGAATTGTGGCTTGGTGTCTTTCTGGATGGAGTTCGTATGTTTCTCTGGAGCTTCTTTTTGAGTTCTCATAGTCCTAAAATATGCACAGAATTTGTAGTTCCATTTACAGACATGGGCTCTCTACACAGGGAGAACCCATCATGTCAAATTGCCTCGGAGAAAGACATCCTTTGGACAGTTGGCTTGAGCAATGAACTTAAACTGGATTCAGACTGGGGATATTTTAGCTATATCCCCAGATATATATTCGAGGTGGCTTTAAAAAAAAGTCAGATCTGTGAGCATCATATCATGATGTGTTTATTTGCCTTTTATTAGGTGTGCTTAACCGTATATTTTATCAGACGTAAGCTTAAAGAGGCAGCTTAGGGAAAATCAGATATGGTGTTGTGGCACCCTGCACTCAACAATAGTATTTAGCTATGGCTATAACCTCCATAATATCTGTATATGTAGATTGAAATGATATTATTTAGCAGCAAACAATTTAGTAAAAACAAATGAGTCTGGCTACTTTCAGTCTAATAATAACTGAGTGCCTCTGTCTCCATGTTAAGACACCAGGCCCATGGTAAGGATGAGGAGGGCGGATCTGCGCCCTCTATCAAATTATGGGCACAAATAGTTATACTTCCACATACTTTGTTTGTGAATAAAAACGTAGGTCTCACGTTGAAATTAGGAAAACTGTTTTTTCCGTAATTGTTCTCCTTGCCCCTAAACACAGAAATGGTTCAGATTCAGGGAGAACTTCTGAACTTTAACTTCATCAGGCTGGCCCAGTGCCCGGTTCGCTACAGGCAGCCGCTGTGGGTCAAAATCAGACATCCTGACCTCAAAGCCCCTATGGCAAGCCGTTTTAACAGAAATTTGGTTTCGTCTGACTATCCGTAATTACGTTCCAGATATCTGAAAATGCATTTTGACTAGACAAAACTACATTTTGACTATCCGGAATGGTAATTTAAGATATCTGCATTTACATTTTGACTAGTAAGAATAATAATTCAAGATATCTTCAATTACATTTTGACTAGTCAAAATTTCTTTCAAGATATCTCAAATGACGTCACTGGATTTGTAATTTGACGAGACACGTATCCGGAATTACGATTTAAGATATCTTGAACGTAATTATCACTAGTCAAAATGACAATTTTAGATATCTGAATTAAGAATGACATGGAAGCCCCTTTGTGCTGTCCAAACAGTTGCCTGTAGAATTTTATGTTTCCTGCACAAAATTGTCCATAAATGCCACAAATTAGAAAGAGCTCTGCAATTTTGAGAACGCAAAACTTCATGAACTATAAGACTGCTAAAAATATCTGCAAAAAAATTATTCTGTTTATTCATTTCCGAGGAACTGAATGCATTTAAAAACAGCTTTGAAAAGCTAAAACTGTTTTGTCAATCCATTTTCAACATGAAAGTTGTGCATTTTTAAACATCTTTTTTCGTTTTCTATTTTTCATTGTTTTATTAAACTTTCAAATTGCCACGTAAATCAGTGACGCTTT